CTTCTTCATTCCCTCTCTCTCTTTCTCTCTCAGCCCAGCTTCCCCCCACTCTCTTGATGGTGTCATAGTGTTATGGTCCATCTATTAGCCCTGCCCAACCCAGCTGCGTTCAGGCAACATTAGCTGCCTGAGTACCTCCTTACAGCATCTTGCACTTATTAACCTACACACAATCTGATACATACAATGCCATTCAGTCCTACAGCTAGCTTTAGTAGTTAAAGGCGATGCATGTTATGTTTCGAATGCTACCATACTTTCTCCTATCCCAGCAGGTTGACTCCTCTGAAAGGTGTAAACAATGTGGCGCTATCAAAACATTGGTGACCGTGATTTCACCAAGTACAACATGTTCCTGGATCAACATCCTTGTTGATCCTGGAACAACATTCCTATCAACCAATCAGAACTGAGGGATAACTTTTCAGGAAATATCTGTTTTAGGCTTACAATCAGGGTTAGGTGCTTCTACACCCTTATTAATCAGCTATCATTTCACACTGTATTTAGGAATAAATTATGGGTAGGGTTAGGTTTAGGGGTAGGGATTGGGTTAAGTCTATATTTTTGGACAGTTATGTTGATCCAGGATCAACAAAAGATGTTGATTCAGGAACATGTCTTACTTGGCAAAATCACGGCGACCCAAAACATTGCTATTTTTTTAGCATCCCGACAAGTACATTTGTACATTAACATTAAAATACTGGTGTGAGTCTAAACTACAAATTAGCTTACTAGTTGTGTTTGTTGAGGCTAGTAGCGCATGAATTTCACATTTCACCGTTTATGCCATGGGACGAATGTTTGGCTTGATAGCATAGCTCTGATATTTCCTGCTGGTGAATGTTTTAGCTACATTGTCTGGCAGCAATAGCTATCACTAATAAATTGTTACATTATAGTAGATGTTTTACAGGTACACAAGTTGTTTTTAGAGAGTGCTTGAAGGGATAGTTCACCCCAAAATTAAATGTCTTAGTGGTTTTTTTTCATATATTGAAAGTTAATAGGGTCCAACGTTGCGCCCTAACATTCTTCGAAATATCTTCTTTTGTCTTCCGCAGAAGAAAGAAGGATATTTTTTGGGTGAACTATCTTTTTAAAAACATGAAATGAGCTTATAGCTTTAGTTATTTGTTGCCTTTCATGTCACAGATCAGGATTTACACTTGGGACTTTGCGTGTGAATATTTAATGTGAATATTAATGGATAGTTTTCTTTTGGATTTATAGACATCAATGATTAAAATAAAGATCTACTGTATATTATCTCAGTAGCTTGATACACATATTACATTTATGAGCACTCAAGATGTCAAAGCATCATTTACATCAGTTAACATGGAATAAATGAACTTTTTAAATACCTCACAACAGCATTACTGGCTTCTTCATTCACACGGAGTTCTTCATATTGCTGCAGTATGGATTATGAAACAATTGCTGAGACTCTCTCTGGTCTCTCTCTCCCTGTCGAAGTCAAGAAAGCAAGACGCTGTGCCTGTTTGACAAATAGTCTCTTACTTTTGCTCTGACGTCACTTTTTCGCAACTGCCCAAAAGGTAAATGCAAAGACTCCACAAGGCCAAATAAACAGGAAGCACTAAAATACTCTATATTCCGTTACCGTTGCCTATGTGTACAGACTATTTTGGTGGAAACCTCAGTTTTGTGGTGTTGACAAAGCCTCACGCTTGCTTCATGACTCACAAGTGCCTTTTTTCAAGTGTTACATTTTCCTAATTCAACAGCTCTTGGGTGACCTCTCAGAGGTGCTGTGCAGATATTTTTTTGTTTTTCCATTTGTTACATACACTGCATGCCTAGCTGGGGTAATTTTAGCTTCAAGAATGGGGTCACCGTGAACATTTGTAATTAGTGAGAGTGTATGTGCAGGGTCACAGTCTGGATCAATATCTTTGTTACGAACAAAGCCACAGAGAAGAACATAAAAGTGAATAGAATCAGGAAAAAGAGAAAACAAGATTACTTCACTCATTTACTATCCGGTTCTCCTCCGAGAGCCATAAATGTTCAGTTCTGGAGCACTCTGACCCTTTCTTCATATTTCACCATTTTCCATAGGATGCACCTGTCTAATCTAATCTCAGATCTTAGATTAAGTAGATTAACGGAGTTAAACGTGAATTGTCACACTTCTCTAAAATCCACTATGCAGATGGGATCGTCAACATGAGGTTCATCAAGGCATACAGTGAGATCTCAAACTGCAAGATGTATATGTATATATTTTTAAATAAGTAGGATCATAAAAACCATTTTATAACGGCAAAGAATCATTCGGACATAAAAGACAGTTACATATATTCCAGCAGAGAAAATAACAACTTAATTCATACATATTTTGTTGAAAAGTTTGCATACCCTCGAATCGTACATTGCCACCTTAAGCATTCAGAGCACTACAACTGATTAAAAATTTTTTGGGATATATATTTTTACATTTTTTTAATTTTGCATTTTATTTTTAAAAAAGGTTTATAAATATGCCTCTCTAAATTAAGCATTCTTTCAAATAAGAGGGTAAATGCATGAAAAAAGTGGGGTTTGTACATTTAGTAATTTAGCAGATGCTTTTATCCAAAGCAACTTACAAATGAGGACAATGGAAGCAATCAAAACTAACAAAAGAGCAACAATATGTAAGTGCAAATGACAAGTCTCGGCTAGCCTAGCAAGGTATTTTATATATATATATATATATATACAGTGGGTATGGGCAGGTCATTTCACCAGGAGGGAAGATTTAATTTAAAAGTCCGTGAAAGTGATTTTGTGCCTCTTTGAGATGGCACAATAAAGCAGCATTCACTTGCAGAACACAAGCTTCTAGAGGGCACATAACTCTGAAGTAACGAATTTAGGTAAAGGGGTGCAGAGCCAGTGGTGGTTTTGTAGGCAAACATTAGTGCCTTGAATTAATGCAATTGTACATTAATATGGTACTAAACACATTTTATTGATTGTTTTAATCAACAAAATGTTTTTACATTTCTTATCTTTTTTTTTTTTTTTACTTTGAGACAAATATTTTCATTGATTACAGCATTATCATTAAGCTAACTGCATATATTAACATAAAATATAAAATGAAACGTTTCTAGTTATTATAACGTTTGTTTGTGTTAATTAATAAATATACTGGAAATATATACATATATAAATCTGCATATTTACTACATTATTTTGTCAAAATGGAAAATACTACTTTTTAATCTGATAAAAAATATTCCTACTCTAACAGGCCTGTTTAAAAGTCACATACATAAATAGCTCAATAGCACCCAACAGGTGACATTTACAGCAAGTTCATTATCTGCTGTACCATGACATTAAACATCAAATTGTGGTCAACGTGGGTGAAGACGCTATATTAATATTAGCTTTCCTAAGAAATACCACAAAATAAAAATAAATTTTCTACATGTCACACATACCACATCCTCATATAAAGCATTTCTAGCAATGTATCACAATATAACTATTAAGGTTTATACTAAATATAGACATGTGGCGATTAAAGATGAAAGAAATAGAGAAAGAGGAAAGCCAATCGTAACTCACCAAAACTAGTGCTGTCTGCTGCAGGTTGCAATGCCACCCCTACATCAAGCCACAAAAAAAACATGCAAACCTATTTATTTGTATGTAGAGGAAGGGTAAAAGCACATAAGCACATCAAGAGATGTGACGTTTGAGCCCAAAGAGTGAGAGAAACCACTCGAACCACACCAGGAACACACACACCATCACATACACACACCTCCTACAATGACATGCCCAATCCCGTTACTGGTTTTCTGGTCTAATGCACACACATGTCAATATTTGCGAAGTTGCAAAATGCTTAAACACTGTATAAATTTAAGTGCTTTCAAACATGGAAATGATGATGCTAATAGTTGGTGCTGCTAAGAGTTCCTAAAAGGTGGCATGAGTTTGATTTGAATGCCATTTAGCATCTAAGAGTATAAAAAGTATATTTTCATTCTAACAGACTGTTATAGCGTAGCATTAAAACATGCACAAATGCATTCCTCATTTGAATTCACTGCTTGAACAAAAGTTATTACGTGTTACTTGTGAAACGGAAACTGTGTAATTCATTAACAAAAGAGTCACTGAAGTTAACCTTTGGTTAAAGTTCTAGCAAGCCTGATTCGTTTTTTTAAGCAACAAAAGAGTACCACATGGGGAAAAAAAGAGAGAGAAAAAAACAGAAATGTGTTCATAGAATCACTGCCACTGGATAAACAACATGACAACAAAAAAACACTATGTACACCAAATAAGCCATATATTGTCACATAAACTGATGTCTAAAACATTAAAAGACACAATAGAGACAGTAAAGAAGCTTTCTGATGCCTTCCTCGCTCTGCTTGATTTTGTACTGCAACAATATGTGCTTGTTAAAAAGGTCACAGGAACACTGTGGTCAAATCAGCAGCCATGACATTAAATGTTATACCATTTGAAAAAAAAAAAAAAGATGGCAACAAACAAAAGAGAAAAAAAATGGAGCAAACCTCTGCCACCTCAAACAACTCAATCTGAAATGTGGCCATTTTTGTATTTTCGAATGTTCAAAAAAGCTAACTTACCCTGTCACAACTTTTCATGAGTTTCATGAACAAAGCTTGAAATACTAACAGGAAATTTTTGATTTTGCGAAATGTGAAGCTTGTGATCTTGTTAAATCACTTCTTACATACAAAAGTTGCTTAACTCATCCTTTTAACATTTGGTCTCCTCTTCTAGCTTGATGAACTTTTAGTTATGTGTTACACATGTAATTCTGTTTTGCTCTTGTGAACGGTAGCCTATCTTATGAATATCTTTTCACATCATCACTTTCCAGTATCTTTGCACATGTCGTGTTAAGTTATTGGCTTTGGTGGCTTTAGATGCTCATTACAGAGTTAGTTACACAAAGTTAATAAGCATTTTATAATCACACTTGTCCCGATATTATAACATTTGAGTCACATCTACTCAAAATGGTGTGTATTGTTTATTTCAGTTAAATGCTATTCCCCTCAGACTTACACTGGAAAAATTGGATTTTTGTGAACTGAGGGATGGCTGAAATTAGCCTACTTTCTGTTGTAAATCACTTGTATTAGATACAAAAACTTGTATTGGATCTTAAAATAAAAATATATTGGTTAATGATATATTTGTAAAATTATGTGTAATTATAGGCTATGTAAAATCCACAGGATAATAGTGATGTGTGATTAAGAAGTCTATGAGTCGTTTGATCATTTGACAGGATAAATGGCAAAAGTGCTGTCAAAAGACATTTTTGGAGTAAAGAAAAGGTTAACGCATTTACCACCATCATATATCATAGAATGTCATCAAAGAAAAGTAGTGCGTAGTCTGTATAAATCACACTCTCTTAGCATAAACACCATCCTCGGGTTTCACGCTTCAGTCTCACACTTACTTGTTCACACGGTTAAACTTACCTACATAAGTAAAAGTCATACTGTTGAAAAGAAAAACATTTTCTTATATGAAAACAAGGTCTCAAAATAAACAAGGCCTGTAAATAAATATCGAACTGACGAAATAAATCATTTTGTACACGTGAGTGTTTTGCAAACTTTACCAGACTGTAGTGCTGTCAAACGCAGCAGGCGCGCGTGGAGGGGGCGGAGCCTAAACGACGAGTGGCTCAGCCTATCAGAAGCGCGGGAGGGACCGTTTGAGTTCAAAACTGAAGCGGCGCCTTAGTTCAGGAAAACACCTAACTTTAGACGACCCTGCGACCCTGAGTTATTTGGGATTTCACCTTGGATTTGGACTGAATTTAGCATTTAACCACAATGTCTTCAGCGAAAAAAAAGCAGATTTACTATTCCGACAAGTATTCCGACGAGGAATACGAGTACAGGTGAGGAATTTCAGTCGTTTTATTTAACAGTTCACTTTCGAGTTGACGTGAAACATCACAATGACCGTTGTTATGTCATTTGACGGTTTCATGTTTAGAAAATATCTTGAAAACATCCGCAAATGATAAAAAATGGTCTGTTTAAAATGTATTTTCCGGGTTCTGTCGTCCTAACTGCGTTATGTTGCCTGGCAAACAATTTGAAGAGCCGTTTAGTATGAAATATTAGTCAAACTAACATTGTCCCTCTCCTTCCTCATAGACATGTTATGCTTCCCAAGCAGCTTTCCAAACTGGTGCCGGACTCCAATTTAATGTCAGAGGAGGAATGGAGAGGACTGGGAGTCCAGCAAAGTCAGGGCTGGATCCATTACATGATCCATAAACCAGGTTAGTATGTACCTGTAGACCAGGGCTGTGTTTTAAAACCTACTTTGACAGCTTAATTACTGTCTAGGTAACGTATGCAGCTCTGTAGTTTTTGAGAAACTGGTCCACAAAAGCTGCCCATTATTCTCCTAAACCCTAATATCCCACTATTTCCATACAGAGCCTCACATTCTGCTTTTCCGAAGACCGCTTCCCAAGGAATGAGATTTCAAGATTGTCATCGGAAGTTAAACTACTTGGTAGACTCTGACCATGCGTGCATTTCTTTCCATATGTTGTGATTTGTATATAAGCTTTATTATTTGCAGATCTATGGCAATGAAATGTTACTCCTCCTTCCCATCCCCCTTTCATTCGGAGATCTGATGGCAACAGGAGCCCAGAGGGGAACGGGCTGCCTCCTCCAAAGTGTTAAAAAGTGTTAGATCTACACTTAAGTCACGTAAAATGAGTTGGATGGTGTTTCAGGTCTAGTAAATCGCCCCTGCCGTGAATAGAAGGAATAGTTTTTGTTGTACACTACGATGATTTTTGTTGCTGAACTGCTGTTGTTAACATCTCCAACTTGTATGTTGAGCAGTCAACGTTTGTTTGTTACTCATTTGTTGTAGACAAATCAATAAATATTATTTTTATTAGCTCATTTGCATCCTAATTTGTAATCTGTGTAATGTGACATTAAATAATGTACACAAAAGCAACAGCATATATTCAGGGTTCCCATAGGGAATTGCATTTATTTTTAATTGATATCACACTCACAAAAAAATCCAGATCATAACTTTTTTTCTTATACAGTGTATATGTTATACACTTATATATATATATGTATTTATGTATATATATATATATATATATATATTACTGCAGTCAAACGATTAATCGCATCTAAAATAAAAGTTTTTGTTTACATTATATATGTGTGTGTACTGTGTACATTTATTATGTATATATAAATACACACGTATATATTTAGAAAATATCTACATGTATATATTTATATTCGTATAATTTAATTTATGTATAAATATATTTAATATATAAACAACATTTTTCTTAAATATATACATGCATGTGTGTATTTATGTATACATAATAAATATGCACAGTACACACATGTAAACAAAAACTTTATTTTGGATGTGATTAATCATTTGACAGCACTAATATATATATATATTTTTTTTTTTTACATTTTAGCTAAAGTTCTAGTAATTGTGTTTTTGTCACCATTTTTACAAGTTCAACTAAACTGAAAAATTAAAATGGGAAATGTTTGCAACTAGCTGAAATAAAACCTTTTTTCAGTTATTAATTTTATTTCAAGTAACAAACGTTTTTTTAATGGTTTTACTTTCATGTGAGTTCTGTAAAATTGTTTATAATTTTGTCATTTGAAAAGTCACTGAAAATTTTAAAATCTTTAAATTATGATTATAGTTATGCTCACTTTTACAATATTTAATTGCCTAGAAATTGTTCTTTGCATGATCAGAGTTCACTATGAGACAAATGGCAAACATTTTTAAACATGCAATGAAATTTTTCAAACTGAACAGAAAACAAATCTATATGTACAAACATAGCCTTCAAAATATTACAAATCTACTATTAAAGGGGTCACAAACTCTGAGTGCCTGACCCCTAAAGAGAAAGCTGGAGGTCTGGGCTTGTGTACTGTCACTTTCTCTGGGTTATGACTTCCAGGACCTGGTACCACTGTGGACTCCCTTGCAGCAGCGTGCCTCCCCAGCATAGAGAACGCCGGCCGCCTCGGGAGGTAGACACTGGGATCTGTGCGGTTGTATCTACAAGGACCTGGAGTTTTAGATAAGTCCTCAGACGGAGCCCCAGATTTGCATTTCCCAGAGATGCTGTAACTGGCACTGGATGCTTTGGTCAACACACTGGAGCCCACGAGAGAAGGGAGGGTGTATTTGTTCGGGGCAGGTACGGTGTCCACGGAGCGATACTGTGTTCGATAACCCATGGTGTGGGATGGCGGTTTGCGATGGATGCTGCACAGAGAGGCTTTCTCAGGACTGTATGCTCCTGGTCCAGGGGTGGAGAAGATTGCTGCTGCAATTATCAGACACAACAAGAGTTAGGAACTGTCAAACTCAGTCAGCTTATTCCAGCTAAGTGTTTCCTGGTGGTTTCGACATGAAGTGGTTCGAGCTACCAGTAAATAAGGAACCGTTTCAACAGAACGACACTTCAAAATAACCGACTTACCTCGACTTTTGGTCCTGCCATGAATGGAATAGGCAGGGGTGCCATCTCTTCCAAAGCGAGTCTGTTTGGCATCGATATGGTATTTAGGCCCTGGACTACAGTCAATGCTATGCACTGTACAATCAAAGCAGAATAAACACAGCATTACATTATAATACTTGTTGAATATTCGAGTGAACTGTTTAACACACATGAACGTGAATTACTACACATGAATGTGTAATTATCTGTAGAGTTAAACAAGTTACTTTGTAGGTTTTAAGAGCCTTTTGATTTATTTTATCATATGCAATGACAAAACGATTAAATGTTAAGTAATCCAGTCTAATATTTCAATCATCTTAAATGTTTGCGATTTTTGTAGCTAATGGGAAGGCATGAAAATACTAAATATCTCAGTTCCAAGGCGTATACCATATTGTACTATAATGCAAAAAAGAAAAAGTAATACATTTTTTATATAATTTAAAAATATTTTACCTTAAATAGCTGTAAAAAATCTAAATAAAAAACCCTTACAAGAAAATTAAGTGTGATTGTACCCTTTTCTGTAAAGTAACATGAAAATAATATTAATAAAAATATCACTTCTGATCTACTATTCTTTCTACACCGCAACGATCAACATAAATAATGGGAATTTACAGCAGTCTGTCTCCCTCTAGTGGTGACATTAGCAAAATACAAGTTTAAGAACTAAATGATTTTAGTAAAAACATCAACATAGATGATTTGTACATTCCTGGCATTAAATGAGCTAGAAAAGCTTATGCTGTTATATTGGAGTCATTTCCCACCGAGCTCATTTATTTTACTGCAACTTAATATAAACTTACTGTTGTTACTCATCCTGCCATGGAAGGAGTAGGCAGGACTTGTTGACTTGGTGAAATCGTGGCCTACAAAGCCGATAGCCGGTGGAAGGATGTATCGACCAGGTCCTGGCCCTGTAAACAAGAATGGAAAACAGCCGTCATACTGTAGTCATGCACACACAACATATGCACAGCCCACTACTTGTAATCAGAAATATGTAGTGATGCATTTTTTGGCAGGCAGTTGTGACAGAATCTGTTAGGGAGATCCACACCCTGTAGATGCAGCCCAGCAGGAATGTGAGCTCATCGCAGTGGCGTGATGGTTTTTCCTGGAGTGGAGGACAGACAATGCCTTTGGCTTTCTTCTCTGATACTACCAGGGGAATGCCATGACATCAGCCCACAAATGTTTGTGTGCATGTGGGCTACTGGGAGCACAGAACATTCTTTCACATTTACTTCAGCTTGTTTTGACAGGCCTGGGCACAAAGTTATCGTAACCTTACTGAACGCGTGACCTTTGAAGGAAAAAGTAACTCTTTTTCAGTTAAATGAAAATTTGATGGGGACGTAAGTACACTGGAAGCATTTGTTACAAAATACAACACTACTGTATGTTGCTTACAAGAACTTTTTTGGAAAAAGGTCAGTTGAACGCAACACTTTTCACAAATTCTATCCCAAAGCAGCTTTACAAAAAAAGTGGAAAGGAAAATCCATTAGGTTTACCAAGATAATAATAATAATGTTTCAATTTAGTATCATGGACAGTACTTTATTTACTTATTAAAAGCATATTGAAACTACACTACAAGAACAATAGTTCTGTTATTCAACAAATAAGGAGTCAATATTGAGTAACCTGTATTTTGGACGCCACTGTCTATTGTTGCTCCGCCAACGAAAGTAGTTGCAAACGTACTTAGAATGAGTAAAATGTCTCTGAGCAACATACAGTAGCGACATTTCGTTTCTGAATGAACCAATGTTTTTGAACGAATCCGTAAAATATAATAATTCCCTCATTAAGAGTGTCACTTGTCGCCACCTTCTGGTGTGAACGATGTACAGCCTAGCGGACTGATACAAACAGTGAATAGTCTCAGTGCTATTCGTTTGTACATCAGCAATTGGTGAATGGCGTTCAAACAATTTTCTTACATTGAAGGTGAGATTATTGTTTAGTACATAGTATATACAAATAAATATACATTAAAACAGCTCACCTTTTTCTCTGCCAGCAATGACCGGACGCTTCCTCTCCGTTTCACTCATAGTCAAGATTGCATTTGGGACTGGAGGTTTAACCCTTCTAGAAATCTAAGTTGTCCGTTTCCTGCAGAATTGGACATAGGCCTACTTACTATCAAATCTCTATGCCAACTTTTCCATAGAATTTGAGTAAACAGAGCTCAAGGACAAGCAATTATTAAGGAATTAACATTCACGTCAGCATCAGTTTTTCCAGGCAATTTAAAAACGCAAGCAGCTACTTGCAAAAACTCAAGTAGGTGTAGATCTTCAAAACATCCAAGTTCAAAGCTTGAGGTGATGGTTAGTAGAACTTTTTCATTGTCATCTTCCTAGCTGCACAAAATCAGATGTCCTCTGCAGCGCAATTCTGCCTTCTGACCTCTCTTGGACTGGACAAGTCCAGTCAAGTTCTCCACTGTCCAGTGATCTGATGATGTCCGAACTAAAGCCGCCCAAGTGGTAAACTGAACACTTTTTGGAGTAATCTTCATTCAACCTGGTTGACTCAATCGGGGGCCGCCGAACCCATTAAATATACACATGCGTTTGAGAGACAGAAGCACAAAGGTGTCATCACTTGAATTCACTGTCATGTAACACTATCTCCATCAGATAATTCCTCCTCTCGCTTCTCTTTCATGCCTTTACTCCGTTCATCCGAGTAGAGATGGACCATCAAGCATGGGTCGCTAAGGGGACCAGCAGCTGGGGGCCCCCCTGCAAAGCTGCATAGAAAAGGCCTTCGGCATTTGAGAAGGTACAAACTTCTGAAGGACATATAAGTGAATACGTACCATATTCCCATCTATCCAACTGAAATGCATTGTCTGGGAGAGCGATTTAAAAAAAAAAAAAATTTGCAGGAACTGAAAGCTGGGGGCATGACAGGTAAACATGTTCACCACTGCACTGACCATGCAGCAAACAAATATTAAACATTAACAGTGCTGTGGTAACCGGAGCTGGATGTCAACATAGGCAAACTATCACAAGCTGACCCAGTAGACAGCAATACATGGGGTCAATGTTTTGCCAGGACATTCAAACAAGTTTCAGAGCTTTGAAGAAGCTCAAGCAGTTAACCTGGAACAACAGATCATCTCAAAACTGTTAAAAATGCAAGAAAAACAGAAAAATATGTACTTTTAGGAAGATTTTGTGCTCAAAAAGTAATATTGTGATTACACACGACTGCTCTGCATAATAAAGCCGAAAGTATACTAAGGTTTTTTACGCATGCATTAGGGTATGCATACTGTGCATGACACATGAGTAAAATCTACGGAAATCCCAGTTTATATCTTACAACTGTGACTTTTTTCCTCGCAGTTCTGACTTCTGAGAATTGCAAGATCTGAAAAGTTGAGCTTAAAAGGTCACAATTACCTTTTTTTATTGTTTTATTCTGTGGGAGAAAAAAATTATAATAATTTTGAGATGTAAATTCACAAATTCTGAGTTTATAACTTGCAATTGTGAGATAATTTAGCAATTCTGAATAGGGAGATAAAGAGCAACTTTAAAATACTACACGTTCCACTGAATGCATATGCTAAGCGTTTGCATCAAAACTGCAGTATACTTCAGCCTTTACGCACTGGAGGATCATAGCAAACCAAATTCACCAGTATAACTGACTGTGAGCAATGCTAGCCTAAATTACTTCGAAAATTTCACCCAAAATACAAATATGGTATTTTCAATATACTATAACTTACTGTACTTACTTATATACTTGCTATACGTATACTTACTATAAATACACTAATAATAATTTTGCATATTATATAGAACGGACAGAAGACAAATTGGAATTCAAACATAAAACAAAGATTTCACACGATACAAATTGCATACAAAGTTTATTCTCATTGACTTTCTTCCAAATGTGATATAATTGAAGGTTAAATTCATTTTAAGTTCATTAAAATTTACAGTAATTTTCAAATTCCACATAGGCCACTTTGCATATCTGCATTTTTCTGCATTGATTTTAGGGGAATTTAAATACAGTAAAGTATGTTAAATGGGCCTTGAAGGTAATAAACTCTTTATTAGGACCTTAACGCATCATTAAATTAAACCAAATTATTCAGTGAACTTGAATAATCACATTAGAGGCATTCTGTTTAAAAGTGCAGATTTCATGTGGGCCTGCCGATTTTCATTTAGCATGGAGGTTTAGTCAAAATAGCTTATATTCTGTACAAATCATATTCCAGTTTGTGTAACAGAGTTTGTTTTCTGTGATGCAGAGACTAATTTAACATA